ATTGGAATTATTTTTTTTGTAAAATTTGGAAGGGAGGTTATGATAGCTAATGTTAAAAAAGGTCTTTTAGATTCATCCCTTCTGTTGCTGCATTGATATTCGATTGTGAAGACAGCTCAAAGAAATCTTTTAAGAAGATTTTTTACAGTGTTCTGAATTTACCAAGTTTCCTAGTTTGTTTTGATGAATTCAAGCAACTGCCAGCATGGTGAAAGGCGAACTGGATGGACCTTGGTTTTCTTTCGCCAAGCAAATTCTTATGTTCTCATTTTTTTTATGTTTCTTTTTTTTTAAATCTTAAAGTAGTTTAGTTTTCACTTTTAAAATGAGTTTTTTTGTTTCAGGCTTTTATTTTAATCTATTGACTTTAAACTAAAGTCCCTTCTGCTTGTTCAGGTGGACTTTAAAGATCCCATTGTACAAATCGAAAAGAGATGGGAGATTCTCCTAATGATCTGATCAAGAATCTTCCAAATAAATAAAACAGACAGATGGGACCTCAGTTTAATGTCTGACAATGCAGCGCTCCACCAACACCGAGTGGAGTCCTGTAACGTATTGGTTAGAGCAAATGCGAGGACTTGGGTTTGATTCCCGGCAAAACGTTAGACAAGTTTCTTTACTCCACACGCCTTTGTTTACCTAGTGGAAAATAGGAGCCCGGTTGTTAGTCGATTGGCAGATCACTTTTCTAGGGGTAATAATCCCTTCAGAAAAAAAATATAAATAATAATTTTGGTCACTCGATCCACGACTGTTTGTGGGACACTGCTGTACGCAATTGATGTGATAATGCGCTATATCATATGCAAGGATTATTATTATATTAATACTGCATTAGAGTCTCAGTCTAGACTGTGAGATCAAAGCCCTGAGGGGCTTGATCCCTCAACTGTTTGTCTCAGAGTTGAGAATGCTACTAATTGATCCAGGGTGACTCTTGTAATGTAGTGTAGTGACATTTTTTTGCAGGCAAATGAGAGGAAAGTGACTGAAGGCACGGTCAAAGGAAGATCTTGAGAGAGGGACGGAGTTCCAGAGAGTTGGGGCAGATAGGCTAAAAGTCTGACCTTTGATAGTGGAGGAGGCAGGGCAGTGACGTGGAGCAGGCCAGTGCTTGTTGAGCAGAGGAAGCGAGCAGCTTGGTAGCATTTAACAAGCCCACAGAGGTAGCGTGGGGCACGGCACGGCAGTGGAGGGAGGGCAAGGATCTTGAACTCAATCATTTTGGGAATGGGGAGCGAGTGGAGCCGGGTGAGGATGGGGGATGATAAGCTTGTGGAGTCCAGGGTAGGAGAGGACACAAACTGCAGAATTCTGGACAGCCTGCAGCACGTGGAGGGAAGAGTTGAGAAGTCCTGCTAGGAAAAAGTTTGCGTAGTGAAGCCTGCAAGTGATGAAAGCATGGAAGAGGATCTCGGAGGCCTGAGGGGAGAGATAGTGGTAAAGGCAGGCAGTGTTGTGGAGGTGGAGGGAGAACCGAATGGGTTAGAGCATGGATGTGAGGTTTAAAGGACAGTTAGGGGTCCTGTAGCTCAGTGGTTAGAGCACTCGCTTTGCAAGCGAGAGACCTGAGTTCAATCCCAGGCAGGGCGAAACCTTGGGCAAGTTTCCTTACTCCACACGCCTAATAATAATCCCTCCAAAACCAAAAACAATAATAAATTGGTCATTTTCAATCTACGACTGTTTGTGAGACATTGCTATGCGCAATTGGCTGCCGCGTTCGCCCACAAATATACAGTCAATTCACTTTACAGTGTGTTCTGTGAAGCGCTTTGGGATGTCCTCCCGACGTGAAAAGCGCTATATCAAATGCAAGGATTATTATTATTATTTGGACATAGCAGTTCCACACTGGCCCTGTACTGTCAGCACCTGAGGTCCACCTGAAGAACAGGCAGATGGGATCTCTGTTTGCTGGTTTATCCTCAGCAGATTTTAATGTTCTCAGCGTCATAAAGCCACAGGCAGGTTGAAACACTGTTTGCTGCAATCACCTGCCACTACAGGGCATGGAATAAACATTTTACACGTCAGTGTGCGTGCTCTTTGTCTATGATGGTTAACCTCGGATTAATATTGACCCACACTCCTGGAGCATCACCCCCTTGGTATTAATCCTCACTCTGTGGCAGGTAGAAGAAAAGAATGACCCAACCAATAGAGCGGGATTGATTGTGCCCATTAATGTTAGCTCTTGGTTGTCATCTGCCGAATAATAAATGATAATTGCCAGCTTTTTTTCCCTAACAAACTTAATTTCTTCTTGAACCATTGAAAAAAAATCCTTTTACAAATGAACAATCGCAGGCTAAAAGTGAACAGCTGCTTTGTGAAACATTTGTCAATCTTGTTTTGGAGAAGTTAACTTTTTACGACCTTAATTTCTGGATTGATGGCGGCTATTTGACATTATTAACTTTGACCTTGTGAACCCCAAGAATATTTTCGCTGAGGTGAAAATGTTAGCAAGACTGTTATGTTTATTCTTCAGTCCTAACGAATAGATTTGATTTTTTGCAAAGTAATTTCTAACTCATTTTATACTTATTTAAAAAAAAGCAGAATCCTCAATTTGGTTTAACAAATGTCCCATTCCTGTATCTTATAATAATTCTAATAATAACAATAATAATAATGATAATCCTTGCAGTTGATGTACCTCATCACGTCATTGAGAAGTCCCAAAAGTACTTCATAGAATATATTGTAAAGTAAATTCACTGTATATTTTGTGGGCGAAACACCAATTGCGCACAGCAGTGTCCCACAAACAGTTGTGGATGGAGAATTTTTTAAAATTTGTAATATTTAATTTCTTTCCCACTATCCTGTGATGCATTTTTAATAGACAGCGTTGCACACAAAGTTACTGAATGCTGTGCCTCTTTCACAATTAAAAGAAACTGTACAACGCATGAGAGGTAGCCACACCAAATGACTTGTACATATCCCCTTCGCAAGTGAAGCGGGGTACCCTGTGTTCATCCTCATCCTCTGCGGTCATCTAATTAATTGTATGCCTTATCTATTTGAGTTTTATTCAATCTGATTTCAAATCTTTTTCACAGTAGATGTTTGATTAAGCAGGTTGTGTATGTGAGTGTGTGTGTGTGTGAGAGAGTATGTGTGTCTGAGACGGAGAGAATATTGAGTAGTCATTAGAATTATAGTTGGGGCTTGCATTGTGTTTTTGTTGACTCCTTGAGAAGTGAACAGTAGATGCTATCCAGTAAGTTTTGGGGGTGGAATGAGGACTGGGAGAATTGAGTGGATTAATTTATTTATTGTATCAATAAGTGTGATGGGTTTGTCCATTTGCTTAATTATTTATAATAATAATAATAATAATCCTTGCATTTGATATAGCGCTTTTCACGTCGGGAGGACGTCCCAAAGCGCTTCACAGAACGCACTGTAAAGTGAATTGACTGTATATTTGTGGGCAAACGCGGCAGCCAATTGCGCACAGCAATGTCCCACAAACAGTCGTAGATTGAATATGACCAATTTATTATTGTTTTTAGTTTTTGGAGGGATTATTATTAGGCTCTGTGTGGAGTAAGGAAACTTGCCCAAGGTTTCGCCCTGCCTGGAATTGAACTCAGGTCTCTCGCTTGCAAAGCGAGTGCTCTAACCACTGAGCTACAGTCTGGGAAGGGGAGAGTGCATGTTCTATTATCACAGCTGTTGTTCACTGGTGTTGAGAGCGAGTGCGTGTGTGTTTTTTTGGTGTTTTTATTAATAAGTCACTCCAGAATCTCAGAGAAGTTGGCCTGATCTAAAGTATTTATCGTGCTGTGTTTATTAGTGAAGTGCATTTTATGTAACTATTTTTGCTTGTGACCATTACGAGTGAAGGTGAAACAACAACAAAAACAAATTACATTTATATAGCGCCTTTCACGTCAGAAGGATGTCCCAAGACGCTGGTTTGTACCTGAGGTGGGGGTAAAAGTGTGACTGAAGGCACAGTCAAAGTGGAAGGTCTTGAGGCAGGCCTTGAAGGAGGTGAGATAAGGGGCAAGGCAGAGAGATTTGGGGATGGAGTTCCAGAGGATGGGGGCAGCAAAGCTGAAGGCCTGACCGCCAATGGTGGGGGACATGGAGCAGGCTATTGAAAGTGAATTCAAAGAAGATGAATGTGAATACAAGCTTATATTTCTATCATTTTTGAATTGCATAGGAACATAAGAATATCCCAGACATGAAAATCATATATTCGTGAAAATCATACCCTTTGATACATCCGGCCAGAGCATATGATATTTCACTTCTTAGTCTTAAGTGCAGTTCAGCTGTGAGGCAGCACTGCAGAATGGGTTCAATGTGGCTGCAGACGGCATTGCCGGTGGCTGCTGAGGGCTTCAGCCGGCTTCAGGCCATTCAGTCTTTAGCTATCGACTGGTTTGATCACGATTCCTGACTGTAATAGTTATCACTGGTGATATAATGTCCTGTTTTTCACCTCTCCAATGCTCAAACATTTGACACAGTAGTGTAATATAAATGTTTATTATAATGATAATAACACTTGCATTTGGTATAGCACCTGTAGCTCAGTGGTTAGAGCACTCGCTTTGCAAGCGAGAGACCTGAGTTCAATTCCAGGCAGAGGGCAAAACCTTGGGCAAGTTTCCTTACTCCACACGCCTAATAGTAATCCCTCCAAAAACAACAAAACAATAATAAATTGGTCATTTTCAATCTGCGACTGTTTGTGGGACATTGCTGTGCGCAATTGGCTGCCGCATTCGCCCACAAATATGCAGTCAATTCACGTTACAGTGTGTTCTGTGAAGCGCTTTGGGATGTCCTCCCGACGTGAAAAGCGCTATATCAAATGCAAGGATTATTATTATTATTATTATTATAGCACCTCCATGTCAGCCAAAACATCCCATTTGCATGAAGTTGTGTATATTTAATAAAGGAAAAGAACAAATAGGTTTTACCCATCTTAACATGCTATGTTTTTCTTTTCTGTTTATGTAAAGCTATGAAGCCTCGCTTGTTGACTTGGTGGATTCATTGAGTCCGATTTCCTTACAAAAGCCCAAGCTGCACACCAAGCACTTGCATAACAAGCTGAGAAAGAGCAGCGCAGGTTACAGCGGCAGCCAGTGGCTACGGTCCAAGCCAGCGATAGCTTCAACACACTTTGGGGAATCGTGTGAAGATCTTGAAGAAAGCCGAATGCTGGAAGCCATTTTCTTCATTTAGGAAAACAGGTCGGACTGTCTCCCTTGGGGTGATTGAACCATTATGATATTCGATTTCCATCTTCAAAACAGCACCGGCTCCACAAGGAATATGTGCACGTAGCAACCGCGGCTGACTGGTGTAACACAGCTACGAGCCTGCGTGGCGGAGCACATGGACAAAGCTAGCTTTGCCACTTAATCCACAATATATTCATTCACTAAATACTGGGATTGTTACAGAACTCATGCCAAATGTGATATCACAATATATTTATAATTATGTTGGTGAATTTTGTGCATCATTCTGCTCATTTTAACTGCAATATCTTCTCAGTTCTGTCTTGTGTTTTATGGTGGTTACTGCAGAGGAGATGAGGGAAGCAGAAATACTATAGTCACCACGTTTCTCAGTACTGAGTATGCGGGTTGGGATCTGTTGATTCCAAGAGAGAAGTCTCATTACTGCCAGTGGTTTGAATTGTGCCCAAGATCAGAATTTATTTTTCAGAGCTCAGCTGTTTTCATTGTGAGTCTATTTATATTGCACATTTTCATTGCTTTCTTTCTTTGTAGGAAAAACAAGTAAAAAGTGTGAAGCCATGTCATATAACTTAAGCAGTTCCCTTTTTCACATGTTCCCAAGAGACTGACTGAAAAGACTGTCGAGTCTAGGCTGTGACATTGTGTGAGAAGACTGTGGCTATCATACACTTCTTTAAGGTAACTCTGATAGAATGTGTACCATCAGTGCTGTGCGTAGATCAGCATAGCTAATGTAGGGAACAAGGTCTGTCAAATAAGTTATCTTGCAGTCATTAAATGATTTCTACACAATGAACTATTTTTAGTCTCCCAGTAACTGTTTGGTTAGTTGATTACATATTGAACATCCCACAATCTGGTTTAATGTTTGCCTTGACATAACAGACTTCAGATATTTGCTATTTTTATGTAACTCCAGTATTGTGAAGGTATTGTTAAAGATCCCATGACACTATTTGGAAAGAGAAGAGAGTTTCTCCCGGTGACCTGGCCAACAATTCCCTAATTAAATTTGGTTCTCACTCCATGGCTGTTTGTGGGGTGTTGCTGTATCAAATTGGATGCTGCGTTTGCCTACAAGACACAGTCATCACACAGTAAATCTGTGAAGGGCTTTGAAACATGCGCCTGATGCATCAAATTCACGGTTTATTATTTTGCTATTTTGCTGAGATTTCTGATTGTGTGCACTGGTATTCTGTATTAAGAATTTTTATGAAATCTTATTTTCACATGAGGCTGTGTTACTTACAGGGACAATGCCACATTAAATGTGTGCTGGTGGGATGTGCAGTGTTGCACTGGGAAAGATTGCAGCTAAAGTAACATAATAAAGTACAGTAATTCATTATCATATGTTTGGCGGGTCTGGTACTGAGGTAAGGTCTTACCTAGGATTCGGGCCGATACTGAAATGTATCAATGATACAGTGCATTAACTTCAATTTGTAATGTGCCTGAGTGTCAAAATATGCATTTCACAGATTACAAACTGTTGCATAAAATAATTTGCCTTTCATTAACACTGACTTTTTAAGACAAAAATATTGATATTGATGGGAGAATTATGAACAATAAGTACATAGATTTGAGCTGAAATAAAATCTATACAAAGGGGCTTTGTCCTGGCCTTCTATTTAGAACAGTTTAAAATGAAATGCATTAAATCGGGTGTAATTTGAGGTATTGGGATTTCTCTTAATGAAGAATTTGACTTATGCATCTAGGGTGGATTACAGCAACTAGAATTACAATGCCAATTTGTGGGAGCTTTTCTCCTATCCCATCTACTTTTGATTAGAGCTCCTGCCGGCCGATGGGAATTTTGAACCATTCTCCTGTTAAAAAATAACGCAAATTACACCCTGATGTCCTTCTGCTCAGACACATAATAACAAGGTTCTTCCTACAGACTCTTAGGGACCAATAATATACCTATTTTGACTTGAATGTTTTTCAGCTGGGACCATAACAACACTTTTGTATAAAGAGATTTTAAATAAAATTATTTGTTAAAGGAGATGGGTTTGGGTTTGCTCACCTGATTCATGTATTTTTTAATAAAAGCTGAGTTTGCGGTATTGAAATACTGTTTTTTTTGCTTATTCCCTCTGTTACGGAACAAAATCATTTTGTTGAAGAAACTTCATTTATTTTGTTTCACCTCTGGCTGGTATTTTCAGCCTGGCTTGGTTGGTAGCACTCTCGCCTCCGTGGCAGAACCCTATGGACTCACGCTCCACATTGGGAATTTGAGCTCACTAGGCTGACATTCTAGTCCAGTGCTGCGGGAACACTACATTGCGTCCTTTGGATGCAATGTTATAACTGTCTGCCTGTTCAGGTGGATATTAAAGGTCCCATGGCATTATTTGAAAAGTGAATGGGGTTTCTCCCAGTGTCCTGGCTAACAGTTTTCCAGATTCTGCACATATGATGCTATACAATTGGTCATTCATTCCATGGTTATTTGGGGGACATTGTTGTGTGCTAATTGTTTGCTTACAAATACACAGTCACTACACTTTGCAGTAAAGTTTTAGACGCAATCTAGGGCGTCAGGTTCGATCCCCAATTATCCTTCCTCCCCCACGTCCGGTCCCTCACCAGCACCGCTTTGTTCCACCTCTGACGCAACGCCCGTTTCCGCCAATACCTCTCAAAAGCCGCTGAAACTCTGGTCCATACCTTTGCTACTTCTCAACTGGACTACTCTAACGACCTCCTCACCGGTCTCCCATCCACTACCATCCATGAAATCCAAATCATTCAAAACTCTGCTGCCCGCATTCTCACCGCAGAAAAACTCCGTTCCCCGATCACCCCAGTCCTTGCCAGACTGCTCTGGCTGCCTATCCCAGAGAGGATCGATTTCAAGGTCCTCACCCTTGTATTCAAGTCCCTGCACTCCTCCGCACACCCCCTATCTCTCTGACCTCTCTCTTCAAAACAGTTCCCGTTGCCTTCGTTCCTCCGTGTTTGGCCTCCTCCTCGTCCCCAGAGTCCTCCGCTCCACGGCTGCCGTGCCTTCAGCCACTATGCCTTGAAGCTCTGGAACTCCCTTCCTCACTCCCTTCGTCTCGCTCCCACCCTTCCTATTTTCAGCACTCTACTGACGACCTTTCTTTTCGACCGCGCCTTTGGTCACCTTCCTCCCCCTCCCCCCGGCTCGGTCCAGGGATCCGTTACTGTGAAGCGCTCTGAGATGCCTTCCGGTGTGGAGGGCGCTATATAAATCCAAGTTGTTGTTGTTGTAAATCCTTTAAAGTGCTTCTAGATGTTTGATGACTTGATAAGGTGTTTCAACAAATAATTATTCTGACTGAATGGGCAACTAATATGAAGCACCTTTCATTCCTCATCTGAACTAGGTTACCTTTTGTGTAAATAAAATCCACAGCAGAATGTATTAGTATTGGACTTTGCTGCCTTTATTGGTTGACCCAACTCTGTAACAAGCCCAATACTATTGTGATTCTTTGTTTAAATCTCCATTACATTTCAAATGTCTATTGAAAGGTTCCTGCCTCTGCCTGCAGGAACTACAAAGGATGAATGATCGATTTGTTTAAGAAATGGGACTCCAGTAAGTATTGAATTATGTTTTAGTTTCTTTAGGCTTGTGCATGCAAGTCAAAAACAATTTGCAGTTGAATGTTCTTTCTACATGTAATTTTATTTAAAAAAATTGGATTGTAAATTTGTTGGAACATTAATGCATGAAAATGTTTCTATGTGTAGTTAGTTGTTTGAGTGTCGGAAAAAGCCACAACATTTTTGCACACAAAAAACAATATTACTGAGAGAAAAATACTTTGAAATTTGGATCTTCCCTTTCTATTATCGATCCAGAACTAGATTATTGTGGAGTTTCCTCAGGCAATACATATCATTTCATCCCAGTTTGTTATCTATTTAATGAAAATAACAATTAATATACAAGCTGGGTATTGTTACAACCCACAACACTACTGTGAACAATTGCTCTGGATGGGGTTAATCTTAATCTTAAATTGCTATTTCAGATGTGGATTTTACTTCTGCTGTTTAATATTTAGCATGCAAGAGTCAGTGCATTGTACACATAAGATGCTATAGGATTTGTTTTGCCTGTTGCACAATAGGAAGCCGTAGTTCACATATCACCTTTAGAGATCCAAGATTCAGAATATACAGGATGATGATACTTATGAGAAGCACTGCAGGCATAAGCTGCACATTGTATTTTTTTCCAGCTGAGGCAGTTGAACTGTATTTAAAAGCACTGTTCCACTGATACCAACTTGGACCCAACTCTAACCAGTTCACTACCATTGTGATTGTCTGATTAAACGACCTCCATTGCATTTATATATGTACTAGCTGTACCCGTTGCAGCTACGTTTGCAACCAAAGGATCCAATATAGAATGTAGATTTCAGTGATACCACTCCCAAACCATTTAATATGCCATAAACCCTATGTGCACACCTTAAGCAAAACTGCCATACATGTGTGATGAACTTGTTTAGGTCATAGCTCATCAATGATAGGAGTTACCCCCCAAAAAATATATGCCCCTGACACTCCCCCATACAAGACCTTTCCGATGAGGTTTAAATCGTGTCTCTACATCAATTGGTTATTGATTTCTTGGTTGACACACAGACAGACATTACGTCTTTATTAGTGTAGATGTAGATAGAAGATAGATGTGTATTAACAAACTACCTAACTTTGTTGAGTCAAACAGTCTGTCATTTGATGTTTGGCCATTACTACTGCTTGGTTTTCTGTGACCTATCTAGTCTTTGTAAGAATGTGCCTTGTCCTTGTCAAAATAAAAATCTAATTTGGATTTGATGTGAAGTCGGTCAATATTGCACTGAGTTAGTATAATGTTAACATATAATTAAATTTGCGTCTTAGTTCTTAAAATTTCAGTTCTAAGAATTGTAAAGAAAATCTAATTATAGATTAGATTTTGCGCCCAAATCCAATCCAATGAAACATTGGACTCAGTAAAGAAATCTAATGGACTTCAGGAATTTTCAGAAAATTGTGTTTATCATCCCTATCTTATCATCCCTATGCTGCTGAAACCCACATTCATACTTTTGTCATCTCCTGCCTCGATTTTTTCCACTCCTCTCCGGTCTCCCCAGCTCCACTGTAAACGAGGTCCAATGATACAAACCTTTGCCGCCCATATCCTCACCTGTATCAGGCTCCACACCCCCACGATCCCAGTCCTTGCCAGGCTCCACTTGCTCCCTGTTGCAATGGATTGATTTCAAGATCCTCAAGATTGATTTCAACACCCCCTATCTCTCTGATCTACTGACATCCCACTCCACTACAAAAACACATTAAGAACTATTAAAGGTAGGTGTAGCTGGCCTTCCAAATGGAAATACGTATCATATCTTCAGACTGGAAATACCATGATATTTTGATGACTGGCCAGCCAGTCTGGTTCATCGATACGTCTTGGAGGGTCAGACTGGGAGCAGGGATTCTTCCCAATCAGCTCCTGTTAATCCTGCAAGCCAAAGCTCTAATGTGCAGGTGATCTTAGTAGGATGAGCAGAGGGAAGCTTGCCAGGTAGTTCTTTTAATGGTAAGCTACATAGTTTTAGCTGGTTAAACTCCATGAGTACCCCAGCATAACAACAACAACAAGATTACAAATACATTTATATAGCGCCTTTCACGTCGGGAGGACGTCCCAAGGTGCTGGACAGTGTACAGCATTTCAGACCCGAGCTGGGGTCAGGGGGGGAGAAGGGAGGGGAGGGGAAGGGGGGTGGCTGATGGCATGGTTGAAGAGGAGGGTCTTGAGGTGGGACTTGAAGGAGGCTAAGGAGGGGGCGAGGTGGAGTGATTGGGGGATGGAATTCCAAAGGTTGGGGGCAGAGTGGCTGAAGGCTCTCTCGCCAATGGTGGGGCGGATGGGTCAGGGGACGTGGAGCAGGCCAGAGCCGACTGAGCGG